TGATAAAAGTTCATTTGACTTTCTTGATCTAAATCAGTCTCCAGACTTATACAAGAGCAAACAATAGTTTCAAACTGGCGACAGAATCCGGATGCAAACATTCAGATGGGAAAAAAATATCAATGCTTATGAGTTTCCTGCTGCTATATCGGGAGTCATACCGAGAGGATATAGTGTGCCGTTTCAGTGTTTAGAAATCAGCTTTAACATGAAACTCTCTGTAAAACCACTGACATGCTATGATCATAGGTTCAAGTGGTTTTAAATCAGGCCATTTGAAACTTAGAGACTTAGTAGTACCATTTAACTGCTCGTTTTCATATTACGTATCAACTGGGATAAAATCAGGTGGATAAAATCAAATGTGGAGTGGATTATGTAATTAGTCCTTCATTTTGCAGTGACAAACAGCATCCAACTGCAGGGTTGGGCATGTGCACAAATGTCTATTAGGATACATTTTGAAACTCTGAACATCAGAGGAACAGTGGGACGGTTTTTACCATGTCATGAATCAAGGCTTTCCATGCCATGTCAGTTTCGTTAGTTGAACAATCGTTAAGTTGTTAAACAACAGTACAATCCACTGAACGCACTGTAATTATATTTCTAACAGCCTTGTTTTCATTACTGTCAAAAATTAAATATAGCGCTACTGTTGACTAAGTTCTATGGTGTGTCCAAAAACCAGCAGATTTTGTTAGCTTTAATCAATGCAAGGCATCATTTTTCCATTTAAAATGCAGAATAATTGAGAGAAACAACACTTATGACATTTCCCACTCAAACCTTGCAAAATGCTTCTTTCTAGACCAAAATTAGCATGAATATCAAAAGCCAACAGACATTACTTATTACTATGCTGATCCCACATGAAAGCTTAGCTAGGGATGCACGATATTATCGGACTGATATCGGAATTGGCCGATAATGGCTTTAAATGTAAATTCCGGCATCGGCCTGATATGAAAAATTATGCCGATATGTCTTGCCGATAAGAGGAATGCTTTAACTCACATGTGCTCAGGGTGTGCTAGCGATTAGATCAGGTCAGAAGTGTGGCTCATTCTTGAAGCAAAGTTATTATCGGACTGATATCGGAATTGGCCGATAATGGCTTTAAATGTAAATTCCGGCATCGGCCTGATATGAAAAATTATGCCGATATGTCTTGCCGATAAGAGGAATGCTTTAACTCACATGTGCTCAGGGTGTGCTAGCGATTAGATCAGGTCAGAAGTGTGGCTCATTCTTGAAGCAAAATTTTGTCTGAATGATGATTAGATTGACTGTTTGGATCGCTGCATTTCATCTGCGAAAGCAGGCACAGAATGACGCCTTCGGTGTATGATACTGTAAACAGTAATAGCACGTGCAGCGGCATCTCCCCTGGGTCCTAATGCCTGTTCGGTATGGAGTTTTAATCTGTAGGGCGCACTGTTGGCCTACTTCTAATTAAATTAAAAGAAAAATAGCCTATGCAAATAACATTTAGACTGCGTTTCTGAAATAATTTATTTCTAAATAAAGCAGTAATTGATGTCATAAAATAGCGAGTATGTTTTGATTTAAAGGTCAGAAGCTATAGCTTACATGAAAAAAAATCACAAACAGGACACTTGTAAATTAAATAATTTTATATATACTGATTTATTCATTAATGTGTAATATGTTTTATTTTTTTTAACAAATAATGAGCTCTAAAAGTTTTTCAGAATTTTTACAACTCTTTTGCTTTAGATCATCTACAAATGTTAAATCTTAAAATAAAATGTTAGGGTTAACCTTGCATCTTTCTGGGGGGGAAAAAAATGCAGTGATTGATATATAGTTTATTTATAGTTATTTTCAAAGCTTCAATGTACTGTGAAAAAAAACCTTCATTGTTGTTTATTTAATTCTAACAAATAAGTTCTTGTTAAAAACTAACCAAAATTAAAAATATTTTGCTTATCATTTCTGCACAGGAGAGACTTGGTGTTGTTTCCAAACAAAAGGAATTATATCGGTATCGGCCAAAATGATTTGAAAAATATCGGCATATCGAATATCAGTAAAAATCCAATATCGTGCATCCCTAAGCTTAGCCTATGTTCACTGACAAATACTTTCTGGCTCCTGATAAGCAAAGCATAATGAAATGACCCTCAGGAATGAAACAACTGCTTGATTTCCTTTTAAAATGGTTTGTATTAAGTTACTAAAAACGCCAGTAGAGCTCTGAACAATAAATGTAGTGTAGTAGCAAATACTAAAAGGTTAAGGTGAAAACCCCTCATCACGGTCGAGTAATCTACAAGTGGACTGAAGAGCTCCTCCACACAAACATCATGACTTAAAGTCACCAACATGGAACACTCGCTGTCCTTAAGACATTGTGGTATTTCACATTATTTCAGTAATTCTGTAATACTACACAACCATTAAGAAGAAAAGCAAAAATGTATTATGCAAAAAGTAGTGATCGACCGATATTGATATTTTATAACCGATACCAATTGTTTGCATGTTTATGTGCCCGATAACCGATGTGCAGAACCGATATTTATTTACTGTTATAAGTAAATAAATGACTGAGTGAAGTAAGAACATACTTCACTTTGGTTTTTCCTCTTTTCAGTCATCTTTTTTTTTTTAAGTGTTGAAAATGACCAGTCTTTCATGTTAAATTTAATCTTTATATTACAACAATAAAAACATTTTATTTATAAAAAGTATCAACAGCAACAACACTAATATTAACAATAAGCAAAATAAATGTAGAATGTCTAATGTTTTCAAATGGAGAAAATAAATAAAGGAAAGGCGTCATATCAACTTCATTTTAAACTACAGTTTTAGTAGGTTTATAAGCTGTTTAATAGCTACAGAGTCAAGAATAATTCACTGGATAATGTTAATTCACTGAATAATATTCTCTGGAATATTGGAATATAACAAACAAAACATCGTATTTTATTGCATTTCTCAACTGGAATGTTATATCAGAATTATTAATAATGTTTTTGTCCTTCTAGACTATGAAATGCCTGCTGACAGCGTGGTTTATCTATGCAGTTACACAGAATTATACTCAAACTGCGATCGCTCGCGGAGATAATAAATAATTTCCATATAGTTGTATTTATTTAGATGTTTATTAGCGAAATAGTAAATGTTAATACAATTTAGGGTATTTTAAACAAGTGAATCTTGTTAAAAGTTCATGAGCATCAACCCGGTGAGTGAACAGCAATATAAAAGTGGCTTCACGAGACTAACGATGAGCAGACAACAGAGAGAGAATTAAATTCAGCGCTTTTATTTCCAACATGTGCTCATTCATGGCTGCATATTACCTTATTGGCCCGAATATAAGACGACCCTGATTATAAGACGACCCCCCCTTTTTCCAGATGTACCTTTTGGAAAAAGGCTTTTTAAAAACCAAATTTGTTTTTTCGCAGTAAAATTATTTTCATATTGCATATTTTTCCTATTTTCATTTTTGTTTTGAAAGTATGGTAAAAACTGTTAAAATTTACCAACAATCACATTTAAAAATATACACTTTTTTGATATACCATAAAAAAAATTAAAATAAAAAAAAGGTTTTCTTTTTCTTTTGTTTTTACTCGCGATCTTTACAACACGCATTACATTACGTATTTCATGGCACACTCGTTTTATGCGTATTTGGCACCACCTATTGTTGTAGGTGTATTATTGACATGTCAAAGTCTAGACCCTGAATATAAGATGACCGCGTTTTTTCAGATGTATTTCCAAGAAAAAACATTGTCTTATATTCGGGTCAATAAGGTATTTAATTCAGGCAAAGTTACGTCTTTATTGGGACAGGACTTGACGGATTATCTTACGTGACTCCGTGAGTTGGTCTCTATTTCTTAGAGCCAAGCTGCATAAACTACATATTTATATAATACATCTAATATGTGCATAAATGGCTGTTATGTTAAATAAAGTTTACTAACTACAGAAACTATATCAAGTACCTGCACGCTGTTGTCGTCGTCTCGTCTCCCCTCAGACGCGTGGCAATGGCGATCCTGCGCGCAATTCTCGCGCGTTTATCGGTGAATCCGATATTCCAAAACCGATATCCGATTATGGTACAATGCTTAAATATCGGGGAAAATATCGGTAAATCGATATATCGGTCGATCTCTAGCAAAAAGAAATGTTTTAAATAATAGTAGTAGGCCTATACAACATTTTCACACATTTTTTTCACATAGACCTTAGTCAGGGCTGCGTCATATTTACTTTTTGACAGGAGTGAAAACGAGGCTGTGAGGGATAGAAGTACAGTGTGTTCAAGACTGTTGTTTAACAACCTACTGACTATTAAGCTGATGAAATGTCTTTCTTGGGGGGGAACCTTCAGTGGACAGAAAGTCCATAAAACAGTTTTGAAAGTTGTTATGGTCTATTGCATGTTTAAGCAAGCAAGTAGAAATGCCAAAAGATGCCACTCCATTTTTTATAAACCAAGCAGCTTTCTGTAGGTCAATCCCTCGCGAAATCTGAGTGTGAAAATCTTTCAGCCTCACGTGAAATTCCTGGATTCCTATAGAAAACTGAAAGGTTGGTACAGTAAATGTGGCCGCAGATTTATCTTGTAGTGTAAATACATTTTCGGTCATGTCGGCACGACCCTGTAGTTCCTATGATGTACTAACAACAACTGCAAAAATGAATTAACCAAAAAACAACTTTAGAGCATTTTTCAGTGCGGTGAGGTTACATTTACCACTGTTTGGCTAAAATGCAGATTTCGCATCGGTTCAGCTGGTCATGCAAATTTGCCATAAAGACCAACTGAAGCTTCTTGGTTTGAAAGTGACTTCTGTGTGAGCTGCGCTTCATAAGGCCCTGGTGTATTATGTCATATTTATGCAGAAATATGCTCACATATTACATACTAGTTTGTATACAATTCTGAATAGTCTAGACAGGCAGCTCGCTAGATTTTGAGAGACAGCCCACGACTGCCAGCAGTTTTACGACTCCATATTTAATCTGGAACCCATGACACTCGGTAAAGTCGGATCACATGGTAGCATGCATGAGAACAGCAGAATGCCATCCACTTCAACAAATAACCAAGTGCGTACTCATACTGACATACGCTTGTTTCTTATATATTGACGCTACTTGTGAACCATAAAGGCGCTTGGGTTATAGAGTAATGGAGGCTTTAGCCTAATAGTAGCTGGTTCTTTTTTTTTTAAATAGCTTGTTTCGCAATACTCCACAGCTGTTTCAGTGTGCGGTAAACATAAGCAGAAAGTGAATGTTTTTGACGCGTTTGCTGGTTGTGCAATCATCTGGTTTCATATAAAAGCAAGCCAGCGCTGTAAAAACCATATCTGATCGATTGTTATCATGTTAGTGCCATTGAATAAAATGTCGCCTTATGTATATTAGCTCAAGACAACGATCTGAGAAAAAGCGAGGCGTTTTAAATGACCTGCAAATGTAAAACGACACAATCCAGCGCGACTGTCAGGCCTGTCCGGTTAACTAGGAACACCTGATTATTCAGGGCCTGAAAACGGACAGATCAACATCACCACAGCGTGTAAAAATGACTGGTTTTAACCAGAAAGCAAGCGCATACACAGAGAAATCAGGATTGAATCACCTCCGTGCTCTATAAGTGCATAAAAAATGAGCTCGTTTGCTAAGATCAGTTAGCTTAACGTTACATGCCAATCACACCATCTCTCTTCACAAATCCACGACCAGTCTCTGGATTGAACATGTTCAAGCATAACGTTACATATTGATCTCATAACTCACCTGGTGTATAAAGCAGGAGATCTAGCGAATATCAGTCTGTATTGGTGCTGTGGTGTAGCCTGTGAGCTAGATTGCTACTACCCGTGCCCTTACACAAGCCTGATGTTTATGAAGACAACAAACAATAACTTCAGCCCCTGTCGCCAGCGGAGCACTGGATCGTTTAGGCTAGTTATGAGTGAACTAATCCGGAATCGGGGATACCGATACGGGTGCTGTAACTGTTATCGCCCCAGTGTTAAACGACGGGTCTTTTTTTCTCTCTCTCTCTTGCTGTTTGTGGATCTGCTTTAACTTCCTCCAAAACAACCCTGTGGCCTGCGATAGCAAGGACGTCATCACGCAGAGGACGTCGCCACGCAGAGGACGTCGCCACGCAGAGGAGAGAGGACGCCCCGAGAGCGGGTTCGACTTGTTTACTCCGGCGAATAATGTTTCTCAGGGTGTTGCTGATTGATTTAGTAGTTTATTTTTTATTTGTCTAGACACATGCTTTTTTATTGACCTCAAAATATTGACTACAAAAATATGGAAGCCAAGTTACAATTTCAAAAACGATGCTTTGGCAAATCGCAAATATGACATAAAATGTCCTAATTATGACATACAAAAAATCTAAATGTTGTCACAATTGTTTTTTTTTAGGTCATAATTATAACTTATGCTGTTATTGTGGCTGAAATGGGCTTCTCTAATCATGTGAAATTATTTTTAAATGAACAAATCATCGTTTGGCCAAAAAAAAAAAGTGTAAATTTATAGCATTTAAAGTAGGCTAGATGTCATTAATCCCAATAAAATGTGAAAAGTTGCCCTACCAGACGTTGTATAGATATAATGTTAATATGTGCTGTATTTAGCTTATATGTATATGTATGTGTATGTTCAGCACTATCCCCGTTCGTTGTAAACAAATAAGCTAAAATATTCCGGTAAAGTGTTTTTGTTTAGTGTAAAAAATATATACTAATTTGAACTGAAATAAAAATAAATAAATAATGATTTTAGACTAAGGCTTATTTAACTGATACGGCACTATTGGACGTGAACACAAAATGTACATTTTATTTCACTTCATCACAGTAAAACCTATTGTACTGTATAAAAAATGTGATTGTTTAATTTGATATATTTTATATAAACCAGTGTACTAGTCTATTATGGAGGACGAAACCTGCAAAAACAGTACATAAATAAATACACAAATAAATAAATAAAGGTGTGCATAAATACACGTATTCTTGTTTAAAGACATAAATAAATAATTGTACATGTGATGAAAGTAGGCAAATTAGCATGTTGTGCAGAGGAAAAATAAAAGTGGAACTACGTTCAGAAATAAACGAGCGGTCAAAGGAAAATAAATAGGATGAGTTTAGCATTTCCTTAAACATTTCCCATTTGTCCACTAATTTATTTGATTTATTTGCCTACTTTAGTCACGTTTAATTATTTCTATATGTATTTAAACAAGAATTTGTGTATTTATACACACATTTATTTATTTATTTGCCTATTTGCATATTTATTTCTTGTTTTTGCAGGTTTCGCCCTCCATATCCATAGTCTATGAACTTGTTTTGTCTTCGTGTAACTGGAAACTTTGATGGAATACTAGTTCCCCCTGCTGGACCTATTATGACGCCATACTGGATTTTATTTTGAGCATTTAATGCTAAACCAAACCCTTCTAAAGTCAAAACCAGAATCCAATTCCTAGAGCAGGGAGATTCAAGTTTCTAGGCGACCATTTACCTTTAAATAAATGCATAAATAAAAATAACAATGAATTAATTAATTAATAAAATGTTCACAATTAAATAGAGATGTAAGATAAGAAAATGTTTAATTTAGAAAATAGTTTAAAAACAAAATAAAACACCTAACGTTGATCATATATTGCTATTCCTCTGCAGTTCTGCTACTGTTGTCATCACGTGATGTCAGTGGAAGCACACGCCTTAAACATGGCGGCGCCCATGATGAGCGTGCGATAGCTGTTGCATAGAGCGTCAAAGATAAATCACCTGCTTAATGCCGCAGTCCGCACATACAGTATGGACAGACGAGAGTTCACAGCCTCCCTTGTGGTAATGCGCATTTTATGTCTATTGCACGTGCTAAAAGCAGAAGCGTAGGCATCTTTCCTCATGACATTAACTCTGCTCTTGAAACAAATACAGTGTAATGTAATCGAGTAGCAGTGTCTTTATGCTTATGTGTTAGTGTTCACTTTATTTGGAGGCTTTCTTGTTTCAGTCATCTCAGACTAGTCCCAGAGTGATTCTGATTATGAAAGTAATAAAGAAAATGAAAGTCCTTGTAAAAATAATATAAACTGTCTGCTTTGCTCAGTAAATAAACCACACCCACATCTAGTTTATTATTATTATTATTATTATTCCATTGCATTGTTTGTTTTAGTTTTTTTTTTACCTTTAGTTCAGGGGTCACCAAACTCGGTCCTGGAGGGCCGGTGTCCTGCAGAGTTTTGCTCCAGTCTTAATCAAACACACCTGAACCAGCTATTCGAGGTCTTATACCTGAAACTTCCAGGCAGGTGTGTTGAGGCAAGATGGAGCTCTGCAGGACACCAGCCCTCCAGGACCGAGTTTGGTGACCCCTGCTTTATTTTATAGAGCGAGAGAGAGAAAACATACTGTTCTTTTCTCTTGTTGTTTCTCAATTATTAATTAGTACTTAATTATAATAATAGTGATAATAATAATAACAGCAATAATAGTTATTATTTTTATTAATTATTAGTGATTTCTTAGTCCAGACAGTTGTTTTGCCTAATTGAATTATTAATTAATTTTTTTTAAACTTTAATGGTTTTAGAGAAATAAAAAATCGCTCTTCTTTCTCTTTGTTTCTGCAGCCTAATTGTGAATTATTTGGACTGTATCGCTTAATAACAATAATAGTAATAATAATAATAGTACAGTCAGTAGTGCTTCATGTAATTGACAGCTTCCACTTGATCTGGATCAAAACAGGACCAACTTATCTTCAAACACTTTTTTAAAGTAGTAATGAATCAATCATAGAGTTTGCACTCTTTAGCATTGGAATGGAAGGATGTTTTTGTTTGCAGATCCATATGCACAGTATTGCATATTGATAGTCAGAAATACTTTAAAACACAGTGGGTGAAAAATGGGGTTAATCATAATGAATAATGAATTAGATAAAAAGTGGTTTTCTGTATCTCCGCTTTGTTTTAGTAACCATATTAAGCAGAACAACAAACATGACTCTTCTTCTCCTTAAACCTTAAAGTGTCATTTGTGGTAAATTGTGGAATTATGTGGTAAAAATAATATGTGACCCTGGAGCACAAAACCAGTCTTAAGTCGCTGGGGTATATTTGTAGCAATAGCCAAAAAAACATTGTATGTTTATTTCTTTCATTTCTTTTATGCTAAAAATCATTAGGATATTAAGTAAAGATCATGTTCCATGAAGATATTTTGTAAATACCGTAAATATATAAAAACTTCATTTTTGATTAGTAATATGCATTGCTAAGAACTTAATTTAGACAACTTTAAAGGCGATTTTCTCAATATTTAGATTTTTTTGCTCCTTCAGATTCCATATTTTCAAATAGTTGTATCTCGGCCAAATATTGGCCTATATTGTCCTATCCTAACAAACCACACATCAATGGAAAGCTTATTTATTCAGCTTTTCAGATGATGTATAAATCTCAATTTCGAAAAATTGACCCTTATGACTTTATTAATTGCATTGCACCAGAATTTTTAAAGGACTTTATTATACTGTAACTATATATATAAATATATAATGATGTATTAAAACAGTATCATTGCTCTCCGTCCCTTAGGCAGGCGGCTGTGCGGGAATGTGTGTAGATCTCACTCTCTTCCCTCTGGACACCATAAAGACTAGGTTACAGAGCCAGCAGGGCTTTTACAAGGCGGGAGGGTTCCGAGGGATCTATGCAGGGGTCCCGTCAGCTGCAATAGGCTCCTTTCCCAATGGTAAGTTTAGATATCTTATTAATAAACATGAAAAATGGCTGCATGTTTAAAAGTTTACTTTAAACTCTTTAGAAGATTAATATAACTGCATGCTGCAAAGATTTCGAATTATGATAATAAATTGCATATTTAAACCAGAATTACTGGAATCGCTAGCTCTCAGAATACACCCACAAATGAAATACATTTCGCATATATTAGAAAGTGGATGCAGTTTAAGTAGTTTGCCTCAAACAAAGTGTTTCTTCTTGATTCCAGCTGCTGTGTTTTTCGTCACCTATGAAAGCACTAAGTCGTTATTTACCGGCTATAGTGCTACAAACTTGGCCCCCATCACTCACATGCTGGCCGCTTCGCTTGGAGAAATCGTAGGTTTCCTGTTATTCTTCTTCTTCTGTTTTGTCCTTATTTTTATCATCATTTATTTACCCATTGCTGTCCAAATGAACAGTATGTCTGTTTCAGAGACAAATATGCAGAAAGTGTAGAATGTTGTTTTTGTTGGAAGTGTTTTGCTCTGGGTTAGGAGACGGGCCAAAGACGACCCTGTATTTTCCCACCAGCTCGCCAAATAGGATCTGTTTGTTGCCTATTGACATAGCTGTTTTTATAGAGAGGAGTCTTGCTGTTTTGTCAAGGGAGATTTAGATTTTGGAGCTTTAAGAAGCACCTTCATTTCCTCCGCTAGTGAAACTGTATGCTCAAAGCAGTGCAGTACAGCTAATGTCATAAAAACGATCCAACACAGGAGCAAAAAGTTTGCGGTTTAATTTTTCCTTAGTGGATACTCCACCTTAAAAATGTTTTAAAAGTTTGAAGTTTTACAATTTATGTTTTTGAATGAAATTAATACTTTTATTGCTCAAGGATAGATTTAATTGATTAAGAAATGCTGTAAAGACATTTATTTGTTGTGTCTCAGGGCAGCCCGCTTCTCTCCCTCTATTGGTTAGATCCGGTTTGCTTTATTCTTTCAAGACAGTAGTGTTTGGAACAGGCTTCATCGCTCAAAAAACTTGACTAACATAAGAGGGTTATTTATTCAAAAAAAGAGAGTGTACAATGACTGGCATGAAATGTAAGTGTGCACTACCATTCGAATGTCTTTTTTTATTTCTAAAAGATCATGTGACACTGAAAACTGAAAATTCAGCTTTGCCAATTTTACAATAGTAAATTTTTTTACTGTATTTTTGATCAATAAATAAAGAAAGAAAAATCTTACTAGCCCAAAACATTTGAATGTTGGTGTACATAATTTTGTTATGTTAAAAGATATCAAATA